GCCAAACCTAACCAACAATAAACATAAACAACATGAATGACATGAAATGATTCATAATTGCAATTGTCAAAATTTATTCTACAAAATCTTTGTGGCGACATCAATAGACCCTTTCCCCAACTTGTATATCCATCTCAAGTCACGTGGTTCCCAGTGTCCCCATATTTTCAAGTTCTCGGGCCCTGATAGTATATCTTATCTATGGTTGGTGTTGGAGCACTTTAAAAATAAAATAAAATAAAATGTTTCACCTTACTGGAATGCAAATATCTAATCTGAAGTGTTCCTGAAGTGCTTCTGAAATCCGAAGTTTTTTTGTCAATTGGAAAGCAGTAGTGCTATCGTTACGACACGACTACTTGTCTACGTCTACATTGGACTTAGGTTATGTTTCCGTTAACAATAACAAAATGAATAAAATATATATATATATTTTTTAAATTAATATATTACAATTATTAGCATTTTATCTTTATCCTGGATCTCATTGAAGATTTATAACTTCAGATCAAAGAATTATTGTTCATCTAACTTATAGGGTTGTATAGGAAATGAATATTTTGTTGACAGTTTGAAATATATTTCTAATATAGGTATTTGTTATAAAAATGATAAATTCATAAAAGATAAACATGATAAATTTAATTCTGCATGTCACTGTTGTAAACTATTTCTAACAATTCTAACGTTCTATCTACAGACGGTTAACTATGACAGTTTTGAGTCCATTTGTCTATTGGGCACAAAATGAAAATAGTTTATTTTTAAAAGTAGACTTGAAGGATGTGAAGGTAAATAATAAAGATAGTTATTTTTGTTAACTAGTAATATATTTTTTTAAGGAACCACATGTAGTATTAGAAAAAAGAAAACTGCAATTTCAATCCAAAGGCTCTGGTGCTCAAGGATTTAAAGATTATGAATTCTTTATTGATTTCCATTCTGAAATTGATGAAAATGTAAGTATACATATTATTTCATTTTTCAATAAGCATTCTATTAATTTAAAAATATTTCTAGAAAAATGATATAAAAGTAACTGACCATAAAATTGCATTAACTTTAACAAAAATTGAGAAAGGGTGGTGGCCACGACTAACATCTCAACCCAAAAAGCCAGCATGGCTAAAAGTTGATTTTGATCGTTGGCAGTCTGAAGATGATATAATGGACGAGGACGTGAGAGACATACGAGAGGATTATCCTGATCTTTACGATATGTTACAAAAAGAAGAAACCGGTTATCGAAAAGGTAAGAATAAGTTGATCCTTAATAAACAAGATGGTCTAGTTTGGGATATCGATTTTGACAATGGTTTTGATTAAATATTCTCTTAATTTACTTAATCTAATTTTAGAAATTGAATTAATTTCAATTCATATTACCTAGAATATTAATTCATATTAACTTCAATTCATATTAGAATTTAGAAAACAAAAAAAAGTAATAAAAATGAATTGTTCAATATGTTTACTACTTCCACAAATGCACACTAAAGGCTTTTTTAATGGAAGAAAACCAAATGTGCTGGAATATTTATGGTTTTACTCTTCTGCAATTGGTTTTCATAATGGTTAAACTAAAACCACACATTTTGTGGCTAAGGATAAACAAATAACAGAAAATTTTTAGAAATGTAGATTGTAGAAACATTTCAATTGGTAGGTACTGCCCAAAAGTTATTTTTATAAATTTTAGTTCGCGACATAAGAGAACTTAAAAAATTAAGAATCAGTTGGTCAATATCACATATTCAAAGAACTTGCAATATCTTATAAACCAAATCTTAATTCAAAATTTTAAGAAATAAGAGAAAGAAATTATCTATAAAAAATCTATATTTTTTAGTTACGTAAAAAATGTGGACAGATAAAAGTAAAAATTTCAACTGAATACTTATTAATAGAAACCTTTTTTTATTTTATAACTTTGACATCTTGTGTCACATAAAAAGACCTATATATGTTTTTCTTGACACTATATTTTATAAAATCCTTAATTCTGAAAAATAAATGTGTACAATGTACCCATAAACAACATTATAAATTATTGGTTGTATTTTCATGTACCTACGTATAAAAAACATGAAACTAGCATTTCTCTCAAGGACTACCTGTCATATTAAGATTTGCATTAAGGTATATATAGGGTGAATCAAATTTATTTAATTATGTTTATTCACAAAGTGTGTATCATACATACACAACAGGTTAAGCAATCCTAAAAAGTTGTATATATCAACAAATTATGAAACGAGTCTCCTTATTTTCATCTAAACAATACAAAATGTCTAAAACCTATTTTGAATTGACACATATAAGTACTATAGCTGTATAGTTCAAAAGAGTTCTGTAAAAAGTTTGAAAATAGGTTACAAATATTCCTACTTTCAGAAAGATGTAAAAGTTTATAAAATTGTTTTTATATTTTGTAAAATGGAAATTTTTAAAATGATTTTGGTTCGTGTAATATAGATAAGTTACTATGGTAATATCAAATCACCTAAATAACCAGTGGCGGAGATATGAACAATTACTTCTAATTAATTTAAAAAAAAAGTAGTGTGGCTCCGCACCAAGGAAAAAATTTAAAAAGGTTTTTAATTTTAAATCAAAAGTGTTCTTTAATAGTTTTTGATATCTGTCACAGCTTCATGGCAAATACCGAGTGAGTTTAGTGGAGTGAAACTAATTTCTTCCCTTGAATGTCTTTTTGGAAAATCTTTGTACCATAAAAAAACTGTGCTAAATTTATTCTCAAATCAATTGGGAAAGTATGAAATATAATACAGTAATAATATTTTTTATTTAAACTATATTAAATAGTAAAAATATATAAAATTATAAATAATTTTTGACAAAATGTTTATATGAAATATCATAGTCACATACTTCGACATCTGACATTAAATTTGCCTCACTCTGTACATTGACATTTTAAAATAAGTACCTATATGTTGTATCTTACTCTGTTTTTGCAAAATTGAGTGGAAAATTAATAACTACATAAATTCAAGGATTAGTTATGCTGGATGCAAATGCTTTTAATATAGTCACTCTATATAATTAAATGTTCTTGTTGAACTATCATAGAAATTTATATAAATAATTATATTGCTTAATTCATAAAGTTGACATAATTTATATATATGGCTTTGCATCAAATTTCAAAGAACTGCTTTTATTTTATTAAAATTTATTATTTTTACCAATGTTGTCTGTTTATGTCATATAAAATTAGGAATAACTCACTACTCAGTATTTTGAACTGGTTATAAAAGTGGGGATACTCTGAAATCCGACACTGTTAATATGTGCGTTGCAAATTAGTGTGTATTAAACTGTTACAAAGGTTAAATTAAATTTAGATGAAGAAATGTACCTAGATATGGCAGTCATGAGTTTGGTACAACAGAAGAAAGTGCAGAAAATGGGTATTGTGCATTAAATTAAATTATGGAAGTGTTAGACAATTTTTTAAAATATAATTTTTTTAACAAACTGTTAAACAAATGATAACTTCTATTTTGAAAATCCAGAGGTAGCGACATCACAGTGTAACTTATATTAGTATCAGCATTTTCATGGAATAAACATTTTTATGAAAATTCATACAACTGTTCCTAAAATGAGGACAGGCACAAATTGTGTGAAAATTCGACGAAATTATTACCGATGGATTATAGGTTTTCTCAATATTTCAAACAAAAGTTTAATACAACTTGTGCTAGCCACCATTTTACGAACAAGTAAAGGATAATGTTCTCTGTGTATAAAGGATGTTTCGCAAATAAGTGCCAAAATTTAACATCAAAAACAACAACTGGTGGTTAAAACTTTGACAATTATTTCTTTAATATTTTTCTCACAATCTAGTAATTTAAAAATTGTGCAGGTTGTTACGATATTCATGTATTCAAATGGTTCACTTAGAAGTGAGTAAAAAGATTATTTACCATTTTGTGAGAAACAATTGAAAGCAAAATATAACGAATAACAATTGTTAATATTTTTAAAGAACTTTTCCGAACTGGCCATTTGTTGGCCTACATGTTTTTTTTTTGTGGGGTTATTTAAAGTTCTCGCAGGTAACACCAGTAGTTAACTTAAAATATTTGTGGGAATGCATTTTTCAGACGGTCCAACAAATGTCACCAGATATGACACCTACATTATTCCGTGACATGTGACAGTGACATGCAGAAGATGGCGAACGTTTTGAACAGTTATTTTTTGTGTTTTCTTTGGTTTTTGCATATTTGTACTAATTTGTTTAAAAAATATTAATAAAATATCCCATTTTAAATTTTTTTAAAGTTCGATATTTTGAAACCTATTTGTCTAAATTGAAAATGGCAAATACACTTTTTACTTATTATAAATGTTATTGTACCATAGTCACCAGTGATACCATAACACACTGTATACTGCTATAAATATTACAAACTCAAAGTATTTAATAATGTTGTTTCAATTTTTAGAGGATTTGAAGAAAGTTTACATGACTCTCTACAACCTCTTCATGTTCAGTGGATTTTTGTATGTAACTCTCATCTTGTGCATAAGATACCTCCGAGATGGCCCAGATTTTTTTCCTCAAGTATATGAGACAGTTGGTTCGGTCATGTGTTGCTTTCAACTGTTACAGTTTCTTGAAGTTTTACACCCCATCTTTGGTTACGTTAAAGGAGGCCCTCTCATGCCATTCTTACAGATAGCTGGGAGGTGTTTTGTACTAATCGTAACGGTGCAACACGAACCCCGAATACAGAAAATGCCTGTCATTTTTTATCTGTTTCTCGTATGGTGTGCAATAGAAGTAATTAGGTTAGTCTCTGTATCTGCTGCTCTACTATTATTATTAGGTGTACGGGAAATTGGAAAGGTGAAATCATGAAAATAATTTTGCATTCAAGAACAAAAGTTCTTTGATATAGAAAGATTTAATATTTTGTTTTCATCATTTCATTTTTTTTTTTAATTTCCAGCCCTTCCAAGACATCCTTGTTAATTTTTGCAGCTTACCATCTCGAATTTTAATATTTTTTTAGATATCCGTACTATGTATCACAAATAATGAAAAAAGAAAATGGCCTACTGACATGGATACGATATAGCGCCTGGATAGTCCTATATCCCATCGGGTTCTTATGCGAAGGCATCGTCATCTTCAGAAATTTAATATTTGTCGACCAAAGCAACAAATGGTCGGTCACCTTGCCGAATCCTTTAAACTTCACTTTCCATTTTGCAACGTTTTTAAGGATATACTTGCTCTTTATCGTGATTCCCGCAATGTACTTGCTTATGTCTCACATGTTCAATGCACGTAAACAGAAACTAGGTGGCAAAAAAATTAGGAGAATTAAGAAATCGTAGTTCGTAATTTCTCCCCGAATTTCTAGTCAAGTTTTATTAAATTTTATAGGATAGGTAAGTCTATTATGATTGCAATATTTTAATATTCAATAGATATATATTTGTCATAAATTTAATTATGTTTTGCAAATGTTTTTACAAAGGCACATAATTGTAGTGAATGTAAAAAAATTAATAAATTCTTACCTTTAGAAACATTTTTTTACTATACAAAGGTAATTAAACTTTCCAAATATAAACAAGAGAAATTAAAAGTCCATTAAAACTGAGAAAGTACGAGTCTTTGGTACTAGACTGCTCAAGTACTAGCTGGACTAATCGTACAAATTTTTAGGAAGTTCTCCAAGCCAGAAGTTTGTTCATGAACGAATTAAATCAGTTCAGTATATTATCAAATGTACTAAAATTCTTTATTATCTGTACATCTGGAGTTCCTCGGGGCTCCATACTAGGCCCCCTTCTATTTAAAATATTTGTTAACGATACTGTGGTTGATCTGGATGTCCACTGTTTCCTACGCTGCAGTTGATATGAAACTTTATTGACAAATTCAGAACTTATCCAAAAAAATTTGGAAATAAATGCATCATAAAAAATGGAGTCGGTATCGTAAGAAAAATTTTTGTAAAATCCTTTTTTAATTTCCGAGTAAGATATTATTGAAGTTGTAGTATTTTTAACCTTTACATCGTTGGGTTACTGTAGTCTCTAGGATGCTCCGCGTTATGCACTGTGTACAATGCATGTAACCCCAGGCTATTCCGAATTCTGAAATCCGATGTTAGTATTAACGTTTCTGTGATAGTGTTTACATTAGTTTTTCAAGTGTCAAAAATGGCATATGTGTAAGCAACTCGGGAGTTGATGGATATCGTTTTAATTTATGGTGAAGCAAGACAATATTTGTGTTAGTTCGTAGAAACTGCATGATCCGGACCCAGATGTGTTTATACATCGGTGGACAAAATTTTGAAAAGTTGTTGTAACATCAGGTATAACAAATTGTTTTATTAATAAAAACCACAAATTAATTTTATTAATTAATAACAAAAGCAGTTGAATTTGCTGATATAAAAATAGGTGTTATAAAATTTTATTTATTTCTTAGGAAAGAAATTCTTTAATTTTTTTTTGTTTGCCGCCATGCCAGTCGCCGACTGCATGCTTTGAGTTGCGCAAGGTCAGGTTTTACAGTGGACCAGTTTCCAGTGCCATGCGGAAGAGTATTTTTAAATCATTTTTGAACTGTCCTTTTTGATTTTTTTTACAAAATTGTATTTTTGAGTCCCCTGTACATTCATGAAATTTAAATTTTTTTTGGATAAGTTCTATCACCCTGTAGAATCTACAAATGATTATTTCAGAATTCAAAATAACTGGAGTAAAACCCAAGAATCCTATCATCGAATTAAACACCCTTTAATTCGATTATAAGCAGAATTAATTGACTTTCAGCTATTTGTATTGTTATGTGTTATTACATTATATTGCCTTTTCAACCTGCAATTGGCCTTTGACTGTTGATCGATGTATCCAATAACGTTTCAAGTTTCAAAAAATAATAGTTATTAAAAATAAACACTTATATATTTGTTAAAAATACATATTTCTTCATATTTCCTTGCAATAAATTCTAGGATGAAAAGTACTACCTAGTAGGTACAAAAAATTAAAAATTACTTAAATTAATGTTGTAATACAATTCTCCAAGTTCAAACTAAGTTTCACGTCATAGTTTGTTTAGTTTAACTTGTAGAACAAGTTGTAAATTTCTACATCAGTAATAATATTACATAAAAATAAATGTATCTAACATAAATTACTGTCACAAGTATGTCAATGTTAATTAGAGTTTGATACTTTGACCGTGGTTCATTTCGTTCGTCACAAAGAGGTAGGAAGTTGGAAGGCATAGAGGGAAAATGGATTGCTATTATCTAGGAGACTTAAAAACAGATTAAGCTTGTAGTATAACTTAACTGCATAACTGAGCTGTTCATAAAATCTTTGTCTTAGGCAGTAATATGGATTGCCACATTAAAGAAATTTAAATATGTTTCATCCAAGTCATGTTAAATGAATGTGTTCTTGATTTATGCAGTAATAAAATGTCATATTTGTGAAACGGTTTGATGGGTTGCGATTCCTATCCGTGCAAAGGCTATATTGAAAGTCAAATGCATAAAAACAGAATCTTACAGCTGCCATACTGGATAATTTTATTATGACATAATTTTTATGTTCAGTGTAAGTAATATTCTGAAGTGAACAATTTTGATTATTTAGGTGGAATAAATGATTATTACTCTGAAGCTGTTGATTGTATCGTCACATATACTGATAAACTGACTGTTAATTTTTGATCGGATTTAAGTGGAAAAAAATTGAGGATTTATAGTACGTTTATTTTAATTTTTAATATATCTAGCGCAGTTAAATTATTTTGAAATTTCTTTGTGACGCCATTGATTTTGGACAGAAATATCAAACTCTGTTAGTTGTACAGCAATTTGGTTGTATATAATGAATCTCATTAAGGGTACTGAAGTAAGTACAAAAAAATTAAATTAAACTAATAAAAGATAACACCCAGGAAATACATTACACAATTTTTGGAGAAAATGACCTACTTAGCTTTATAAGTTTATACAGTAAGTCTACATACATTTTATCGAAAAATATCAAAGTAACTATAAAAAGAAAAAGATAAAAGGACACTTAAGTAAGCTACAGTTATTAGTAAATTGTACCCGCATGTAATACATTATTACTAAACTACTAATATTAATTCCATCGACAAATATGTAATGGCACTATGTTTAACCTCGTGAAATTTAAATATGTACTGATGACTAGCTTTTATTAAAAAAATATATTGTATTCTGCTATGATACAACTAAAAATTATTGGCAAATATTTTATAATAAATATGTATATAAAGTAGTGTAAGTAATAAATGGTTTAAAGTAATAGGGACAACAACTTTTATATGAATTAAAATCCCATTTTATATTAAATTTAGAGGTTAATCAAATAAAAATTTCAAATAAAATCAGTTATTCGTCCCTATAAATTGTACAGTTACTAAGCGTATTTGTGGTTTCTATCGTTCGTACAATAATTACCTAATTAAATAAAAAAATTATCTTTAAAAATGTAAAGATAAAAAATCTTAAAAAAATTAACTATATAAATAACTATTTCACTGTCTTGCAGAAAAGGTTAATTGTCATTGTAATACTGTAAAACTTAAGAATAAAATGTAAGGACAGAGGTCTGATTCCCTCTTACTAACAAAATCGGAGGCATGTCTCTTGTCAGCAGTTCTAACCAAGCCAGATAAAGAGGAGCTGATACAATATTTTTCCTTGGTATGGGCAGTGTGATGACTACCATGTTTGCTTCACTAGAATGTTCAAGAAGCAATTCTCTTAACCTCATGTGTCTGTTTGTCTTATCCTTGATTGCCATTAGTTCTGCATCCGATATGTAGACTGAAAAAGAATTAGTTAAATAATTTCTTTTTTATGAATTTTTAACCCAATAAGTTGATCAAGATGTAGAGTTTAAAAATTTTCGGAAAAATTGGTCTTAAGTTTTTTCATGAAACAATTGAAAAAAAAAGGGAAAATTTCGGTAAAACTAAACTTATTAAAGTCTAGATAGTCTAGAAGATAAATAACCTTTAGAAATTATTGTATTAATGAAAATCCTTCGACCATTTCTGCTTTTAGAAGAAGCTGATAAAGATTCTGAATATTTTCAAATTAACCACGATAGGGTGTACAGGTTTTCCAAGTAGATTTGAAAAATTTTCCAAATGTGTCGACTTCCCACTTTTTTCTGTCAATATCTTCCACGGAAAATATTTCGCAGTGTGATTATTTCAAAAATTACATAGCTTCCACCATAAAATGTGCATAAAATGTGGAACATTTTTACATCAGCCTATACACTGCGAGATTTTTGAAATTTTTGATTTAGGAGAAAATAACATTATTTTAAGCAGTACAATTTAAAAATACTTTTTTTGAAAAATTTTTTGTTAAATTTTAATAGTATGTATTAATTTTTTTTCTTTTCCACCTTTTTTAATATTGACTATTTTAATACAGAAATTTAAATGGCGTCAAAATATTTAATTAATAATAGAAATTGATGGCTATATTTTTTGAAAATCTATCTGAATATTTGAATTTGGCAGTCCGCAATTATATGAACTAAGTTTTAAACATACGACTCAAGCTACACAGATAAATGCCCTAGAACATAATATTCAGTGACAGCATTTCATAAATAAAGACTTTATAATTGGAATTTAAAAAACTTTTATGAAACTTCCTTGTTTTTTTTATAATTTTCCAAAATTTATAAAATTCCCTGTAAAATACAGGTTTTTCAGATTCATATACATCTTGACAGAAGCGTATTTATCTAGAAAGAGAAGCATCAAACAAGGAACCTAAAGTTTTCCCTTTAAGTAATGTTATTTTGAACTCGGTTTAAGAGTAAACAAAGCATTTTATTAAATGTTGTCTTTTTTTAGTTACAGTGAACTGAAACTTTGTTTTATTTACAATTTACACTAACACAAATACTATAACAATTACACACATGTACTAATTCTATTGTCTCAGATTTCTTGGTCAATTTATTGAAGTTACCAAATTTATCACAGTATTTGTATTGTAATGAATTGGTAACATTTTTCACTTATGAAATAAGCTTACCTGAATCATTTTCTTTTTCTTCCGTTCTAAAATCAGCTATAAGAGAATCAAAGAATGTCTGTGTTGATTCCTGCGGTTTTGCTGTAATATCCGGCACCACTTGCAAATCAGTATAATCGATCCTGAATTTTGCCAAAAGGCTAGCCATATTCTGATATTCAAGCTCCAACTCATCATGTTTATTGGCTAAGGCAAATACCCTGAGTTTGCAGTTGTTCCAGTTCCTTCTTGTACACATTATGTAAGGTAGAAGCAATGTCAAACCTTAAAAACATTTTTTTTTTTAATTTTACTAAGATTTATCCTTCATCAACTCTAAATTTCTTACCTCCGTCATCATACAACCACCACACGTCTACTGTTCCATCACGCCTTTGCTTCTTTTGGAAGAAGAACATTTCCGATTGAGAGGCTAAATCTTTTGGTTCTAACTGATCATCACCGACCGATCCTACATTTGATTTTGTCTTCTTCACGGATGACTCATCTGGATTGGGAGTAGCATTTATAGTTTCTTTATTACTTGCAAAGAGGAATCTATCACTACTACTACTCGCTAAAATATTTTACGCTATATTAGGTGACATTCAAAGTTAAAAATACAGTAAGAAGGTTTTAACATGCCTATTCGTATTGAGAGTTGTACCTTGAGACATCTGACTTAAAGAATGTTTCCTCCTTGTGAATTCAGGACTGTTCCTACTTCCTTTCGCCTCTTCATCTTCCTTTATAAGTGATACATCCAGCCCTTGCTGTACTCTTAATATGCCAACACCAAAGTGCAAATCGAAAGCGTTGCTAAAAACAGTAGTTCGTCAAATAAAAGTTACTTGCTGTGAGAAATTGTATTAAATAAAAGTAAAATTAAATTAACAAATGAAGTTTATACTGTAATACTTACTGTAGCACTTCGAAATACTGGTTCAGCTCCTCTGCTGGACAAGTCTGCCACTTTGATTTGAAACCCATTAGAAGGATATTCGGTCTAAGTTTACCAATACCGCAAGCTTTAAGGAGAGCTTTCGCTCCTTCCTCAAACGACAACCCATCAACTTGCATATAGAATGCCTTCAGTTTATGTGCCTTCAGCCAGCTGTTGGCTTTATAGTTTAGAACGTTTCGAATTCTTTGAGGAAGAGGATCCTAAAAGGGACAAAGCAATGAAAGAAAAAATGACGATGTTTCAGGTCTTTTAAATATTAAAAAATATATAAATAATAATAGTGTTAATTATAGACCAACGACGCTCTTATACTTTATAATACTATTGAGGTGATAAACTGGAGTTTCACTAATAACTACAGGCATTATATCTGATGCTATAGATAAAAATTTACCAGTTAAATCTAGAGTTTTTACAATTTCGTCAATTTCATGTCAATGGTTTTGTTAAAGGACCTTCACAAATTTGACTCTAATCTATTTCCTAAGGAACAAGTCAAATACATTAGGAAGGAGGTACTGTGATATAATTCACAATGCGAAAAGACAAGCTAATGATCAATTTATTAATAAATCTTGAAATAAACAGAGAGCTATGTAGAAGATCATAAACAGCTATAATCCAAACAATTAGAAAATTAATACTGCTGCTACCAGAACTATGAATGCAGAAGATTTTAATATACAGGGTGTTCCAAAAGTAACGCCTGTCCTGGGATTTGATTAAGGAGACGAAAACGAATTGAAAATCAAGGGTGCAAATTTTTTTTATTGTTTTTCTTTGTTGTTATTGAAAAAACTAAAAAAGTGAAAATCCATTTTTTTTTGTCTCAAAACAGGACTGTGCTTATGGAGACTGAGACAAATAATTTATAACCAATAGTAGGTAAGTATAATTATCAATTGTCGGTTGTACCTAGGTGTAAGGAATTATTTTAATCTGAAGGATAAAGAAAAACATTTTAATAATAAAACTAGGTATTTTATAAAATGGAAAGGAAAAAACTTATAAACTAAAACCATAATGTGCTTAATAAAAATGTTTTTACAAAAGGTGTTCAAATAAGTTGCCTTCTATTTCAAAACAAAGATTAGCACGATTAAACATTGAAACATGAACCCTTTGTAGCATCTCTTGGTCTATTAACGCGACAGCAGCATGTATACGGGCTACTACATTTTCTGGATTTACAACAGGTTCACTATGAATCTTTTCTTTTAAATAACCCCAAAAGATATATCTAGGGGATTCAGATCTGGTGATCTAGGAGAACATGCTATGGGTCCATCTCTTCCAATCCATCTGTCTGAAAAGTTTTGATCCAGATAATTTCATACTCGTAAACCATAATGTGATGGAGCTCCATCATGTTGAAACCAATAGTCTAACTTGACTTTAGATTTTGTCATAAAAATAGCAGCGACGTATTTAAATAAATTTAGCTGATGATGGCCTCTTGAAGATGAAACGTTGGATTGCAGAAATATTGACGCCATTGGATAGAGCAAAAAAGTGGTTTAAAATTTGTTTTCAAATAAAGCCAGAAAAAAATAAAACGATTTTGAAAAATTTTGGGTTTTTCTGGATATCTCCTGAACTACGCAGAATTTTAAAACTTTCTAAACGGCATATTGTTGGGTATAAAAAAATACAACTTTTTTCTAATTTGAGCCACCCCGTTTCTCTTACCGTTTCCTAGATCCTAATGCTATCCCATCCTTACCTTGGACACACTGTATTTATGTGTATGTAATTGTATTTTTTCTTTATGTTACAAATACACGTAACTTTACCTTTATTTACTAGTTTAAGCATTTTATTATGCCTTAAAAATAATAAAAGTACAATTGCTTACAGTATTAATGTGTCCACAGACCAACATAGACAAGTTCTTAGTGAGCAAATGTGCAAAATCTACTAAAGATGGTCGAGCACTCGGCATTCCAGACAAAACCAATATCTGGGGCCGGTAATTCTTCACATGTTCCTCGACAGAGTTTAGTTGGTGCACTGCCTGGAGCGCGTTTTTGTAAATTTGCGCTTGTGTGGTTGATCCCCAATTGACATCTAAAAAGTCATACATATGGGATAGAATATTCAATTAGTATAAGAAGTGAAACACATATTTTACCTGGTTTTCGGTATGCTACGATAAGGTAGAGGGCTAAAACAATGGCAAACGTCAAGAGCGCGGTAAACCAAGATATCAGAAACATGACCAAGACGCATAAGATTGCTCCTATTAAGCTGAGCCACATGTTGTAGTACTGAAAAAGTAACTGTTAGCAACTGTTTGTTGTAATCTGAGAATGGTATACCTTGAAAGTAGGCCGCCACCCAACAGGTTTTGCAAGGGAAGCATGAAAAGTTGAAAAATTTATCAAAGTATAAGCGGCCAAGAAGAAGTTTGAAATTAGTGGTGCGATCAGGTTTAGTTCACCTAAAACAAATTCCTAAATAAGTTTTAAATTGGAATCAAGGTAAAGCGTTTGCTAAACAAATTTTCACTTACCAATTAAAATAAATGCTACAGCAATAACGAATGTCAAAATGTATCCTCTGATAGGTTCATTGTTTTGCCCGTATCCCTTACCAAACCATTCAATTTTAGGATACAGTTTATCTTTGCAAAGCGCTTGAAATACTTTTGGGGCCGAAACTAATGATGCCAATGCTGAAGATAAAGTAGCAGCGAAACAACCTGCGTAGATAACTGCTCCTACCCAAGATACCAATTCGACCACCTGAGGATCATACCAATTAAATCATTACTATTTCGTATGTTACGTGATTTTACTTTAAATTCTGAAATTACACAAATGGATTCCTTATTAGAAAATAAGTGTATTTCGTATGTTTGTTCGACAAAATTTTGTATCAGGAGTCTTAATAGTTCCACAGACGTTACAATTTGTCATAGTACAGTTGTACAGTAAATTGAAGATGCAGACCGTACACAGATTTGTCCACAGACGTATAAACATTCTAAAGTAATCGGTAGTATAACTAAATAGTTGTCTACAGAGACTATAAATTCAATACCACTGTATTGCCCAAATCCACAGGTTAAATCACTCCTAGAACCTACAGAGCAGTTGATAAGGCAATTCATATTTCAAAATTCAATAATATATTTCAATAATTTTTTATTACGAAATTAATTATTTTATTATATATTCAGGACTTTAAAGTCTAAATCTAAATTTGTTATTTTTTTGGTAAAAGTCTGGCGTACTTTTTGACAAAATAAATACTTCTCACAGCTGTGCGCCACTGGATAGAATCATGGAAATAGAGTTCTACCCGTAATAAAAACTATCTTCATTTATAAGTTGTACCAAATATTGATTCAAATCCGCTTATAAATTCCTGAGATATACAGAAGATATTCACTTTCTTCTAATTTAGCATTCTGTTTCTTGAAAATTTAGCTTTTTCACACAAAAGTGTTGACATTTTTCAATAATCCTTTCTTGTAATTTCAAAATTTGCCGTGAAATCCCCTTGTACAATACCTGTTGATGTTTGAAATACACTCTACTGAAAAAGTTGTGATTTATACCTGAAAATTATTATGCAATCCGTATTCACACTTTGGCTCACAACCGACAGGCCAACTTCCATTTATATAATCAGTCACATTGCCTGTAGCATCACGAAGGACAGTGCAACCGACCACAACAGCTATAAGGATGTAAGATATTGTCGTTATAAAAATAGCCAATAAAGTACCCTTAGGTATAGAAGTTTGTGGATCCTAAAAATAAGCAGTCATGTAAGCCATATTGTAAATGTTTTGTAAAATCTGTCTCAAGCTCCACCATTTTTGATGTGACATTATTAAAGAACAACAAACTGGTGTTAATGGCTCTAGAAATAGTACATACTACAATTTTTCCAGACGAATTTTAGAAAGCGACAATTCTGTTTCAGATTAGTCATATGCCGCAGACCAGTTAAGTAAAAAATACTAGCAATATATAACAACTGTTAGAATGATTTTTCTTATTATAGCTTTACATAATACATACATGTAAGCACGTAGTAGGTTTGCATGTATGCAGAATTGATACTACACTAAGTTAGTAAATGTTTCGAAAACATTTAATGTTTTCTGAAATACAAATTGTCTTCTGAAAAGTAATTACTCTCTCTCTGAAATTCAATTCAATTCAATATCTTTTCAATTAAAATTGACTACTCTGAAATACAACTGACATTTTCTGATACATAATATGGATTACAAATAACGCCTCCTGAAATTAAATTTACCAAGACAAAACTGAAATGACGCATTCTTGTAAATGACGCTTTCTGAAATACATCTGGAAATGTGTAGAATAATGTGTTTCTGCGTATATTAACAAATCAGGTGCGGTCACGTAATATAATAATTTATCTCTAGCGACTCTAGCTTGATTTCATTTAATTTTCCGTGAAGATCAAGTTATATGAATTGCTCGATTCAGAAAAAAAATCTAATACCAGATCAAGAAAAAAAAATAGCATTCCATTAAAAAAAAATAATAAACAACTCATAAGATAGGGATAAGTGCCAATTTATATTATTTTTAGAGCTATTAATGTCAATCTTTTGTTTAAAAACATATAAATATGGAGGAGCTTTTACCTGTGACTAAAATTTATTCAACATATTTTCCTTTACCTTAAGATCTCCTGAAATATTTGCACCAGCAAGAATGCCTGTAGCAGCAGGGAAAAATATGGCAAAAACACTAAAGAAATCATGTTCGACTCCTTCCTGTTCCCGATAATTCGGAAATAGATTTTCATATGCTAAAGTTGCTAAAAAAAATGAGGAATTGTAATTAGAAATACTTTATTTATTAGAACGTTTTTAAATTTTACGTATATTGAAAATAAATTATACAGGGTATTCCGGAAAATAGTGATTATACAGCAATAGTGGTCCTCTGAGACGTTCTATAGTTCCGTCTGTATGTTTCTAAACGTTTTGCCTTTCTTCACTCCAGTATCTTCAATAGTGACTCTACAACTGCTTCACTCAATAGCGGCATAGTAACCAGTTACAGAAGTCACTACGGATTGCCTCAGAGAATCACCATTGTTTTAGAAGCGGTTCCGTCCATAACAGTTTTAGAACCAACAGAAATCGTCACCACAAAGTCTAGCCCAAGAACAACAAGGGTAGGTCAAAGATTCCTAGCTAAGGCTAAAGGAGTGCTGGGGGGTGAACATAGGTCACGGATTAACACCGCTTAATATACTTATTAAACTTCTTTATTTTTTGGAGTAGCAAATAGATCGAAATCCAGGAATTTCTAGAGAAATTGAAGAATTTTTTGTACAATTGGCAGATAATTTTTAAATTCAATTGTTTGACATACATTCTGCAACTTTTAAACAAAGCAATTTTGCACTAAATCAGTTGACTGTATGCTCACTGTTTCCTGCTACACCCTGTACATGAGAACGATTTACTTACCATTGTACCCCAAGAATCCTCTAGCCTTAACAGTGTCATTTTTTGGTCCAATAAAGCTCCCAATAAAAAAGTCTACAACGGCCGCCAGCAAGATAACTAGCAAAACGAGTTGTGCCTAAAACTTAACTGTATTCAATAACTGACAAAGGAGGAAAGTAGATATTTTTGCTTCAAATATATGTAGATATAATTCCTGTCTTGTCATTTTATTTTACCTTGGCTTCCCATTCCATTCCAACGACAACTATAACTGTCAGAATTATAAGCGTCACACATCCGATGATTCTAACGTCGTCTATTCTACTGACCCAATAATGCCCTCCGTTAGATAGTATTAAGCTTTGCAATGATTCACAAAAACCAACTATGTACATAGCACAAGCTACTACATTGGCCAGTGAGAATATTAAGCCAATGGAACCACCAAATTCTGGGCCTAAGCTCCTTGAAATCATGTAATATGTACCCCCTAAAAAGCAGGATGTGTAAAACACTTGGTTTCCAGGTTTTGATAAGTATAGGTACATGAAATGAATTTCACCTACTTACCTCCTTTTATAACTCCATTTGTGCTTATGGCTGACATGGAGAGGGCTGTTATAGATGTTACGATTGTTGTGGTCAATATTAACACTATTGCTTCTCCTGGAAGTAGAAAAATTAATTTATTTTCAAAGGCAATATCCCTAGTGCATTATCGATAATTTTTAGAAAATCTACAAAAAATTAAGCAATTTGCTAAGCGGGAGGAGTTTAAGGGACTATTTCCTGAAGAAAATATTTCATTGTGTTATTTTTTAAACTAATAATCATAACGTTTCAATTTGTGACATTTTGTTTATTTCAAGAAGACAAAGAGATTTATATGATATGAAGTCAGTAAAAAAAATCGAATAGTTGCCTCCACGCTGTTTTTCTTTAGCAACACCCATCAGTTTAAGGTGGCAGATACATTAGATGGGAATTTATTCAAAAATCTGTTTGTATGAAACATAAATTATAGAGCTTACATGGCTCCTTGTTAAAGTTTAAGTAAAGTAAAATTGATTCAAACTGTTTAATACTTCTGGGTAACCATTCAGAGTAAATACACATATTTGTTTTAATCTAACATTTCTTACGAACAGATTTAGATACGAATTAACATCAAGTGTAGGTGCTGTTAAATAGCTTTCTTTGATTGCATCTTGCATCACAAAAGTTATCAAAAAGAACCTTGTTTCTCGATATAGATATCAGAAAGTCCCAAGGATGTTGAAAGCAATTTGAGTATTTTTATAAAGGTGTGTACATTCTGGAAAAAGGATTATAGCTTCAATATGAAAAAAGCCGATGGAACAGCTTAGAGCAATCGAAAAGAACTAATTTTCCAAATGAAATACAATAGTATCTTATTAAAAAAGTATTAAAAAGCCACAAACAGTGGAGGTGGTTGAAGGAAAAATAAAAAGGAATACAGGGTGATTCACAACTTATTCAAAAAAAATTTGGGAATAGAATGCGTCATGAAAAATGAAGTCAATATGTTTCAGAAAATTTTGTAAAATCCTTATAGTTTCCGAGAAAAAACTTATTGAAGTTGTAGTATTTTCAATCCTTACATCGCTAGCATTATTCGCGTTGTGCACTGTATGCAATGCGCTCTCTCCACGTGCCCCCAGGTGATTTCCAAATACTGAAATCCGATTTTAGTATTAACGTTTTTGTGATAGTGTTTACATTAGTTTTTCAAGTGTCAAAAATGGCTTACGTGTATAGCAACTGGAAGTTGATGGATATCGTTTTAATTTATGGTGAAGCAAGACAAAATTGTATTTGTAAGAGTTCCTTGTACATTCAAAAAATTTTTTTAGATAAGTTCTAAATCGCCCTGGGTATCATATAGGTATAAATATAAACTTGTAATTCTGTGCTAATATTTTCTGGAGGAAATAGTCAACAGAAAGTTAACTAAAGGTTATTTCCTACCTATACCAGCTTGTGCTACCACCCAACTCAAACGGAGGAAGAGCATGACACCCCAAATGTTCAGGAGGCATCTTACTAAGACTCCTTGAATCCATCCGAATTTTATTTGTCCTTCGCTGTTTGGGATTTTGCCGTTCGAGATGCTTGAAGTGGGAGGAGGAGTCTGAAAATTAAAATTTGTAAAAATTGTCAACATTACTATTTATTGAAGAAATTAAAAGTATGAATCAGAAATTATAATAATTAAATCAGTTTTTCCTTTCGGGTTATTTTACTTCGGCCTATTTTTGCTAATATGGCTAAACACCGATCGACGCCAGGAGAAGAACAACCCCCATGCCTTTCCGAGGGATGGAATGTCCTTTTATACAAACCTCGCTTGTATAGCTTCTGTGAATACCCCGACATACAGGTCACTAGAAAGTGAATGAGCATCGTGCGTCTCCTAATCCAAGTTCTAACCGCAACTATCGTCGCTCGACTTTTCATTTCAATGAAATGAATATCAAATCGCTAGGACCCAATAATTATATTGTAGTTAAATAATAAAAATAATAGAAATAACATATTTGTTTGTAAAGCTTTTAATATAAAATGAGAATGTAGTGTTATTGTTTAGAATGTAATGAATTTATATAAAATGTTTATTGCAATTTAACAGGAAATACTTGGAAATACAAAAACAAAATATATTTTTGCGTAACTTTTATATGTGTCGGATATATAAATGCATGTATGTAGACAAAAAGACTTAAGAAAAGATAATTGGTACATTTTACATAATAACTGTAAGTACCCGTTCGTTAACGACATAATTATCATTAAATAACTACAAATAACAATTATTTATATTAAATTATTTATTATTAAAGCGATATTTACCTATACAGGCTTAGATAGATATAGTCAGTAATAAACCAATAGCAAATAAAGTTATCGCTATATAAAAAGTATAATAGCAGTTTTCTATCCAAAATCCAATAAGACGATGATATCCAACACTTCTAAAAAATTGCCTCGGTTATATAAAGATTTTTTTTATTTTGTACATGGTGTTTTTAAAAGTAGTATTTTAATTTTAACAGTTGATCAAATTTCTTACATTATGTACAACAGTTGAATGAGAATTTGGTAATTTATTTTTAATTTTAATAAATATTCAAAATTGGCACTGTCTGCCTGAATACACTAAGAAAATTAAAAAGTTTGTTAAAATACTAATAATAATTTCCACAATAAGCTTACACTAACGCCTAAAGTAACACCAACTCAGCAAAAATTCAAACCAAAATCTTAAGTTAAAATTGTTTGCGGAATTGGCATCAGAAATCTCATTGGCTTCAGATATATTTTTGTTATTGTAAAATTAAAACACCACTTTCGGAAACATCCTGTATTCAAATTTAAAAAAGTAACAATTTCTGTTATGTTTCAATGTACCTATTTATTAGTTTTTTGTTTATTTAATTTTTGCTGAATTAATGTGATTAGCAGGCTTAGAATAAAATTTTGCAATGTTATAATCATTTGCGCCTTAATTTTATTTTCAAAATATAATATGAACAGCGCCTACTTTTAAAGCTTAATACAGCAATTATTGAACAAGCCGGTTTTTTGCAACTATGCCTGCATCTATGTGCTATTAATATGTATTTGTTAATGATTAGTATACGATGTAATCATGATAAGGTCAAGAAGATTTTATAATATCTCTTATTCAATATAATTCAAGTCACTATAATTAAATCATTAATAATCCATAATATAAAATAAGTGTAATGAGATATTTTTTAGTAAATAAAAACAATTTCTGCAAATATAAATTCTTTCTTTTACATCGATCGTATGATGTCAATGTAATGTTAACTGATTATTATTATTATTAATCCTGGCTGTTTACAAAAGATATTTTTGGAAGCTGTAGATTTTATCATTTTTATCGTATCTATTATTACCTACAATTATCTCTACTAAAAATACTACTAAATCAAGTACCGTACTCCAAAAGATTGACATGTAGGATGTAGAGGCTAAAGGAAACTAATTTTAACATAATCCTAACTAAATAGTTACATCCTATTACGATAACACTGCTAAGAAGAGATTTGCTGTTTTCTAAATTTAGAATATTTTTCGACACTAAAAAATTTGCTTCTATGTATTGCTAGAGATTATATTTCAGAAAATGACCATTTCATTGACACCCGAGGTAGAAAGATATTGGCGGCGTGACGTTCACCGCTACAGCTTGCAGTGCACACTGTGTTTTGCAGTTACGAAGGCGCGTTTCTTCGTAAGTTTATCGTCCTCTGCTGTTTCCGTATAATTTCTTATTAAAATATATCAACGGGGGTGAAAAATAAAAGAAAGGAATTTAATTCCCAGTCGAAGAGTATCGTGTTTAACGTGTATAATTTTTAGACAATTTTTCCAAATAAAAATGAAATACAATTAAAAAACCGTATTGCAGCTGCTAAAGGAGCATCTTAAGCTACTATAGGTAAAATCTAAAGTGGAAGTCGAGCTCTAAACACATTTCTATCCAAAAAATCTACTTTATATACAGGGTGTCTCATAATAATGTGCAAATATTTTGAGGTGTTTAGAAAGTAATTTTTTTTTGTGGGGGGGGAGTATTTCCAATATATTTTTTTGATAATATTCAAATCTCAAAATGGCCGAAAAAATTAGCTTTTATATTTTTTCACGAAAACACTTAAACTTAGAAATTTGAATTATGGTACACGTTAACAACTAGTTGAATAGTATCTTTTGGTAGTCTTTTTTCTGGTTTATGTCTGAATGAAAGAAATTTGCACCCTTTGGTTTTTGTTTCTCTCCCAATTTTTTTCTACATTTACAATTCCAACAAGAAAAATAGCTTTTAATACTACATTTCATTTAGAAAATTTTTTTACTCTTCCCATTTTTTGGTATACTTAATGGTTTACGAGCAAAAAATAAATTATTTTTCCTTGCCGATTAAGTACACATAATTAGTACCTATCTATAACAGTTACCAAAAACGATCGTTATATTTGACATGCTTTTTGCGAAAATTATTTTGTATCGATAGGAAAAGCTAAGCAAATATGAACTGAAAATTTAATAAAAAATAAAAAAAAGTAATTTTTCGGCCATTTTGAGATTTGAATATTTTCTCAGGGGGGGGGGCTCAAATCAAAAAATGTATTGGAAGTACCCCCATAAAATTACTTTTTAAACACCTTAAAATATTTGCACATCATTATGAAACACCCTGTATATTTTAATATTCTAAAAATAACGCGGAAAATTTCCAGGCACGCCCCTGCTGCTGTAAATTGTTACAGTAGTTCCGATAACAGAACGAACTTTATTGGCTTATTCTTTTCTTGAAATTCTATCAACAAATATTGTATGAATAATTCCGCAAAATATTTTAAGTTTCTCCAATTTTAATCTATAGTTGGAAATGACCTCGTTATTACGGTTGTTTGTGAACTGTATCTAAATTAAGTAATTTTATTCGGAATGTGCGTTTCCTAGTACCACGGAAATTGTAGAAAACATTGGGCGTATTTAAATTTTATAATTGTTTTAAGAATAGAAATCTGTACGATTTGATTTATGAACTCAATCAGGCTATAACAAATGCATGTTGTTGCTTATATATCACACTATTTCATACTTTACCAATTAACCTTCTCACTTACATGGGATAAATTAACTTTCGAGATAACCTGCGACCTCTTAGTCATTCTTTATTATCGTAATTAGTGAATGAGACTACCTGGTAGGCAATAAACTGACACGCAATTTTAATTATGACGTTTAACACAGATCAAATGACTAATGACACATTAAAAATAAACTAATGTTAAGTGAAGGAAAAGAAGTAGAAGAGATAGAAGTGGAGCTAATATATTCCAGAGTCGGCATTTTATTTTGAATAATTAAAATAAATTTGTAATTTGTAATTACATCATGCTGTTGCGTTTACAAACGCGCATTATCTCGGTTATTGTAACAGGTTCATATAATACGCAATCTGTTTCGTTCATTTTATAAATAAACATTACACTTCTATGCTCTAATAATATGTCGATAAAAGAGAACAGCATTCTTATTGCCTAAATAGGTATTTATTTACCTACTTACATTGACCAATATTTATTTCTTGACACGCTCGATATGGGACATTGTTATAGTGTTAATATTGACAATGATTTGTAACCTAAATATTTGTTTATTTACATTTAACCGGTATTTGTGTGTCAAATGATTCGTTTAAACACCTAATGGAATAATTACAATGTTAAATTATAAAAAGAATACATATTTATATATGTATACAGGGATGGCCAGAAGTACGGAATAAAATTTATATCTTTTGAATGAGTTAATATTATTTAAAACGCCGAAACACGTTAACTGATTTTGATTTTTTCCCATCTTTCGGTTATATAATAATTAATTTTTCTTCAACCCCCTAACCCCCAGCTACCTCTACTTTTTTTTCAAATGGAAACATAAGTCATGAGGGGGGGCTCGTTGAAAAGCTTATAGAAAACCGAATCCAGCCATACTAAATAAACAAGTTTTATTTTTTCAATAGCAAGGTTTTAGGGTTGTATAGAGCACCTATTTAACAAGTGAAATAAAATTTAATTATCTTCAGTGTTATCCTCCTTGAATTTGCACAGAATAAAATAAAGAATTTGAAACTGTACCTATCACTGCTAACGCAAAAAAGATATATTTTTTATGTTGCGTTTTTTTGGCACCACTTACTTCTTACTTGCCAGGCTTTCTGGTTAATTTTTCGCTTTAGTTGTAAATTGGAGTTCGAAACGTTACTATTGTGTCAAAATCAAGTTATTTACTGAATTGCAATGGCATTGTCGGAAAGGCAACGCATCGAAATCTTGATATTGCTTGGATGTGGAGACAAAATAAGAAGTCAGGCTGAAGTGCGCGTTGGAGATATTTGAAAGAAAGAGTCTACCAGGACAGACCGGATAATATTGAGAATTTAAAGAACAAGATTAGGGCGGAGATGCATAATTTACCAGCTGAAGTCATTCAGAATGCTGTGGACAGCTTTTACTATCGTCTTGGAGAATGCCAAATAGTGAATGGAGGACATTTTCAGCATTTGCAACATTGAATTTATTTTTGTAAATTATCTAGTTGTTTCAATTTCTAAATGAAAAAAAAAACTTGCTATTGAAAAAATAAAACTTGTTTATTTGGTATGGCTGGATTCAGTTTTCTATAAGCTTTTCAACGAGCCCCCTCATGCCTTATGTTTCCATTTGAAAAAAAAGTAGGGGTAGCTGGGGGTTAGGGGGTTGAAGAAAAATTAATTATTATATAACCGAAAGATGGGAAAAAATCAAAATCAGTTAACGTGTTTCGGCGTAAATTAACTCATTCAAAAGATATGAATTTTATTCCGTACTTCTGGCCATCCCTGTATTTAGTGGTACGTATTTGTAGAACATAGCAAATATGATTTTACGCTTATTACTTACCGATCCAGGACAGGGCCGTAATGAAATTGTTAAGTAATACAAATAATACAGTCTTTCAAAGAAATGTCCTGTATTCTTGCCATCCTATTATCCTTGACAAAGACTAATCGATTCACTTGATGAAACAATCGCAAATAAAATGTTGAAACAAAAAGATCTCTTGTAGCAGCTGTTTTCTTCGTGATATCTTTGTTAAGGGTGATAAAAGGACGGCAAAATTACAGGATATTTCTTTGAATAATTATATTCAGATATTTAAGCTTATGGTACATATACATTGTAAATTTCCATATTTGAAAATATTGCTTCTGTTTTCGCCAACATCGGCAACATAATTTAACCAAGACTTGCATAAACAAAACCAATTTTTCTAAAAGAAAATCTATTTTGGTTCGTCGAAATACTTAACGCCACTCCTGCTAATGTCCCTTAGTCTCTCAGAAACGGAAACATCCCGGAAGTTAAAACGGAAGTGAGATAAAATGGGTAATGGATGAATTAACATGTTTTAGTCAGGATTGAAAAGATACGCATAGAATATACATTTTCCTATATTTTCAATATTTCGTAAAAATAAAACGGGATAACTTGCTTGCTAATGAATAGTTCTATTAACAAAAATTCCACTATTCTAAAAGTAAACATTATTTATTAGGTTTTTTGGAGTCATCTTAACTAAGTTAGATAAAAATAGTTTTTAAACATTAGTTCCCGATATATGTATATTAATTAAAAACGATTTTTTTATAATTATCTCTTATTTCCTGAAGATATAAACATATGAAGTAGATGGAATGACTTGAATAAAATCAGAATTTGATAGAAGGCCAATAAATCCAATTGCGACTCAAAAAATACCAATGAGTTTATTAAGAAACGAAAAATAAGATGATCTGCTAAGAAATCAGCTAGAATCTAACTTTAATCAATTGGGATTTAATTGAAATACAACTGGAATACAGTTGCAGTTCTATGAAAATGTGCTTGAGATCTACAAACGATTTGAATCTGAATATACTTCACTTTTTCAAATATACCTGCATCTAATTTTTATCCATACGGTAAGTAGGTACCTACTGTCTGATCCAAAACTTATATGAAAAGAATCCGATGAACTTTCACTTAGGTTGTTTTGTTTACTATCCTTGTATAACGCCGATTTTTCGACGCATGGATATCCTTGCTCTCTTAAATTAATTCCATATATTAGAGGGCTGTTTACGTTTTAATTTAGTGATAATGACACACATTCTGTTGCGCCGGACCCAACAGTATTTACATAAAAGCTCAATCTAAAAAATTGGTTTGTAACCGATATGCGCTCGATCAAAAATGCAAATTCCATTGTTAATTCCGCGAAATGCATTCCCAGTCAGAATAACAATACCGAATTTGCATATTCGATAGGTAAATTATTGTCAAAGTTTTCTATTCCATAGAGAGAATTACAAAATAACTCTAAATAATTTATGTATACCTTGTTTGGAAGCGTGGCATTGTGGAGTTCGTCAAGTGTTGGCCTGTTCGCGGCTTGGATGGACATTATGTTCCTGTAGTTGTCAAGTCGTGGCAAGGCCTCTCTCGTCAGCTGCCTGAAAATATGAAAACAACAACATCTATTTATACCGTCCTGAAACTAATAATATCTTAACCATTGTAATTAACCGAAGTAAGTATTATTCAAGAAACCGTTAATTTTTCAGAATAAATAACCTTATAAAGGTATTTTTTTTAACTTATAGGTACTATATCATCAGCTTTTACTTTATTATAAAAATAAATTCAAAACTTTTACTAAAAATCCCATCAAATGAAATCAAACAATGTTCCTCGATGCTAGAAATCTAAACATGCAAAAGATATACAGTGTATAGCAAAAAATAATTAAAAAAGTTCCTATAAACATTGGTTCTAAGTTTCATCAGAATCGGTTATAAATAAAATAAGGATAGTTTTCTACTCTCGACAGAAATTTTTCGAATTTATTTTTATTCCTTTGAATTATCAAGCAAATAATATAATTTTTTAATGAATTAGACATTTTTGAGGAAAAAATCTCTATATTTTTTTTAATTCTGTGTAGTTTAGTCAGAAATAATTATTTTTTAAATAATGTATGACTGAGGACAATAACATTTTTTTAACATTTTATCCTAGTAGGCATCTGCTTTTTTTATCTATCTAATCTGAAACTCAGCTCTTAGAATATAATTATTATTTTTTTATTTAATTTATATTCATAGATAATATCTAATATGTAGTTACAAAAAATTATTTAAAAAATGTATCGAAAGAGTCCTAATGAAAAAATCAAATTGGATGGATAATAGATGAATGATGCCCATTTTTTTTTTATTGTAATCTGGAATTGTAAATAAATATCTGAATCACTGATAGCGTCCAAAGAGTTCTAGCTACCAACTTAAAAAAACGAGACGAAAAAGAATTGTAGAACGAAACAAAATGGGTATTTATTATGTATATTACTACCAACATGTAATACACACGAATTAATGCAAACAAGATAATTAATTTACATTTCAAATAATTATTTCTGTATTTAGAAACATTTAATTGTATGTGAAGGTGAACATCACATCTTCCTTTGATGCGCGTTGCATCATTGGTGTTACATAATAATAATAAGAACCGTATTATTTAAGAAAATTTGCAATAATTTTTTCAATTAATTTTGCTCTTCCGTGCTACAACTTGCGTTTTCCAATAAACAAAAAAAATACATCTTTTTATCAAAGTATCTATGAAAAAGTTAATTTCGCGAAATAAATTTTTTGATTTTTTGTAATTTTCTACAAACAAGAATCAACAATAGCCAACAACGTGATTATATGTATTAATGCTACTATTAATACTTCATCTGATAAAGAAAATGATGCCAATAGGTCATATCCAAGACAATATATAACACCAAGTAGTCGAAATTGATCCCCTGTTCATTGCAGCTCTTGAATTAATTTTGACCAAGAAATCTGGCAATCGAATTATGGAATACAATCAAGAAATTCCAAATTGCTACCAAAACTACAAACTCTCAAAAAAGACTGTACAAAACTACATTTACCCAGTAGAATTCAATAAAGAAATGAGAAAAAGTAAAACCTATTATCAACTAGTGAAACATTAGAAAATGTTAAAAAAAGGAATACTAAAGTACATAATTTTGCTATGTCCTTTATAAAAATATATAAAATGATGAGAATTATTGAAGACATGATATTGAAACAACAATTTAAAAGAAATTTGTCTGATTGTTATAATAAAGGCAGTATATTATACTACAACTACTACCCTCAGTATGTTTTCAATGAACCCTGAAAAAATAGTTTCATAAAAGAAGTAACTAAATAATTTTATGATTATTTCAGATTATTTTTAATATTGATATAAACATATGTGTCGACTACGTAAGCTTTAGTAAAATGGATTTGATGGGAATAAAAAATAAGCACATAGTAAACAATCAAACGGAGTAGGTTGTTAATATTATACTCGCATAAAATGTTTGAATAGCCATCAACCTAATGGTATTATGATGATAGATTTTCTTACTTGCATAGGTATTGGTTTAGCATTAGAAGAATATTGCAAAATCAATCACTGTCGCGTCACAGTTTTTTTACAATCATCGTCTGAGATGCATTTATAAGGAAAAATTAGAAAAAGTAAACATTTTGAATCAAATTTAAAATAGCGTTTAAATCAACTTTAGGTGTCAGCATTTTTTTCTAATCTATGAAGATACACATAAAATATTGTTCTGTGAACAATAATTTACACATTCTAAATAGGTGCCGATGTATCCCAGATACTTCGTATATGAATTATATGACTAATTTTAAGCAAAAAAGATTCTATTCACGAATTCCCAACGGTTTTTGAAATATCGAAGTTTGAAGTTGCCAGGTCGTATGGGTAGTTGCTATAGAAAAAAATGTGATTTATTTTAACAAAAGCGTAATGACACTGTAATTATTAAAGCTGTTCAATGTGACCACCGCTTTGTACAATGCATAACTCAATCCTCTGTTGAAGCTCTTGTTCCCAGTTGTAGTTCTCCGTATTGTTTTTCACCTCATCAAACGATGTATGAATCTTCTCGATGAGTTGGTCTTTACCAGTAAATAAGTAAGTCTTCACATGTTCCCACATGAAAACGTCCATCGGATTGACATCCGGAGATCGCGGTGGCCAAGCAATGAGACCACCACGACCTATCCATCGATTTGGATACTTTTCATTGAGGAAATTACTGAACCTCCTCCATAATGGGACGGATCACCGTGTAAAAAGAACATCGTTCTTCTGATTTGAAGAGGAATGTCCTGAAATAGTAGATCGTTCCCCAAAAAAGCCCGGTACATCTCGCTGTTCAAATGTACATCGAAGAAATGTTGTCCGATATTTCTAACGATTATTCCAGCCAAACGTTTACGGAGAATCTTATCTGAAAATAGGTTTCCCGAATAGCATAAGGTTTTCGATTGCCCACACATGATCGTTATGGAATTTGTTGATTCCATCTCTCATAAAAGCAGCTTCGTCACAGAAAAGGGTTCTTGAAAGAGGATTCAGGTGATTGCTCCACCATTCACAAAGACGAACTCTTTGGGGAAGATGCGTGGAAAGAAGTTCTTGTACCGGTTGGTAATGATAGGGATGCAGTCCGTTTACGGAAGACGGGATTTGGATATCGTCGTTGATATTTCCTAAGTAAGGCGGTGGTACTACTGTTACAATATCCATATACGAAAATCCCGCTATAAGGAGAACGTTTCCGTCACCGTGTCCAGTGCGCATTTGTAGGCGGAGCTATCTCAGATGCAAACTTATTTGTGTCGATCTATACACACTTTTAAAACTATCAGAACGATTTTCATTTTTTCGCAATATAAAAATAATTTAAATATGATCTAGATGGTTTTGCGAAACAGAGGTGGCGCGAGCCTCTGTGTAAAATCTAAAAAAGCATTTTAAAGTTTTTTTTTTTGATTTTACATTTCAGTCGACGTTATTTTAATTTTGGTTTTAAACTTACAATTTTAAAAAACGAGTGGTGTGTTTCGTAAAACAAATCACATGTTAGGCATCATCCAAACGTTCCAGGAAACAACATTTGTTTTGGGAGCGAAACAAGATAGTAAATATAAATAGAGAGATGAAGGATGAAAGACATACGCAATGCCTCCAAAACAAAAAATTCTTCAGTAATGTATTTTTAAAGACAAGCCGATGTGTTGAGAGCCTGTATATAAATAAGTAGGTACTCCTGCAGCTAGTGCACTGCATCGATTTTATGCTAATTAAGTTTCATTCCCTTCATATGAGAAAGGGTAGGATATAGAATATAGCCTAAAAATTGATAGGGTCCTATGATTTAAAGCTAAATAATGATCCTATAACATTGAAGCGTCTCTTACTAGTCAAAATAGGTAAAAACTGATTGTTTTTTTCATGAAGGGAGTTTATTTGCACATATAAATTTTTAGTAAAACAACTCAGAAAATAAAGTTAATTTAGCATTTAAATTGACATAAATAAATAGTTATTGACAGAAGAAGTATATCACTAAAATATTGATACATCATCTTTTAGGTTTACATTATTATTCATAGACCACCATGCAAGCCTTTAGAGAATACTAATGAGTCAATAATAGTAAAATTAAGTGAACAATGGTACATAAAACTTGTAAACTAAAAAATTTGCAAAACAAAGTTGCGCACTGAATTTATTAGATTAGATATGTTGTTATAATATAAGCGTTATTCAAAATATAAGTATGGCATTATTTCAATACCTTAGTTTAGTAGATGAATTAGGCTTACGAGTGATTTCCTTCATATCTAAAAATTATTTTCTTTCTTCTATTTTTGCTTAATGTAGAACATAATATGAGTGTTGCATCAGCATTTTAAACAAGTAAAAAAGTTTTTCCTAAAAATTTTTGTTTGTTTTTGTTATTTTCTTTTTCTTTTCACCTACTACCCATCAAATATGTTGGATGGATTCCTATAGGGTGTTTTATTTAAGTCAGATCCTTCCATAGTTCTGGTAGAATACAAAAAAAGTGGTTCTGATGAAAGCTGATGCACTACATAAATTTCTTCACATTTAAAAATTATTTCAAAAGGGACTTATTGTACTGCTGAAAAACCGTAAAATAATATTAAAATTCTAGTTAGGATTAGGGGTATATTCTAATGGTTATTTAACTGAAGGCTAAGGTATCAATAATTAAGGTAAGTTGTTGTCTAGCTGCGATTTTTTATATTTTTTGTTACTATTTCCATAATAAAATATAATGAAAAATGGTTACAAGTATTATGTGGAATAAATTTCTTGCCAAAAAAGCCATAATTTTTAAGCAAATAAAATCGTATTAAGTCGGTACAAAGTACCTTAATCGTTTCTTAAAATTCTCATCAACAATATGAAGAATTTCGGTTGTATTATCTCTGAATACTTACCCTTTTGGATATTGCATATATTGCATTGTGAGAGGTAAAGAATAAATTTTGCTTATTATGAATCCCCACAAGAGAAAGTCAGATTTTGTTAAATTGGAGATCTGGTGTCGAATGTTGACTTGAATAATTAATTATTGTTACAATTTTGGGTTGAAAATAGTGATATTACGTAACTTGCATTATTTTACACTGGAACAATAACAAAAAATACAAATATGTCGCAAACTGTGAGAATTATACTCTAATACACCTTAATAAAATCGAAAGAAATTAAATTTTATCTGCTTGTGATAAATTTACATAGACTTCCATAAAAAAAATCAAGTTTTTAGTGTTCCAAAACTTGACTACTTAATATTCTTCTGTTTGAAATATATTAAATAAGTAATGCATATGATGAAGGCTTTTTAAAACTTGATCGATTGGCGAAAAATCGCATCCTACTGTCACCTTTTAATTAGGGAGATATTTTCTTACAATTTCAATATTTTTAAAAAATATCGAAATAATTAAAAATTAAATAATATACAAGGTGTTCTATTTGAAAACATTGGTTTAGGCAACATCCAAAAGAACTGAGTCAACTCTTATCATGCAAAATAACTTTTAAATGTGAAGAAATTGATTTAGTGTAACTTTTATCTGAAACACTTAATGTATTATCAGTTATAAAAAAATTCGTCTTAAGTGGAAAACACTGTATATTTTCGTTAGAATTGAATCAAATTTTAGTAAATTAACGACTTCTTAATCTTTCTATTTTTAACAAACATATTAATCAATGTGTGACTACTTATTTAATGGAAAGCTACAATGAATTCTACAGTTTAATTTTAAATTCAACCTACAACTCAAAGTATGAAGGACTTTGTATAATTATGCATAACTTAAGAAATATTAAAACTCCACATACTTATACACGCTCCAGGTCCTAGTTTGAAATATCGGATCAAAGTTGATTATTCCATCGTCTTAATTAAAGCTGATTGTCTCGATTAAAGTCGTTAAAGGGTGTTTCTTGATATTAAGGCGTGAAATAATTGAATGAAATTATTTTACGTACCTACATGACCGCACCTGGGTTTAAAAAACAGTCACCAGTTTCTACCTTCAAAGGTCATACTGCTATAGGGGTGCGGCAAGGAAAATGTAAAGAGAAATTAAATATTTTCAACAAATATTGGACAAACGTACAATAAACTACTATGTGAATAAATTCCGCATTAACCACAATAAATTTTTCTTAGTATGTATTATCATTCAACAACGTAAAGTCAAACAAGATTCGAATATAAATAGGCGAGTAGTGCAGTTCTTCACTTCAGAACACCATTGCGTGAATGGCTATGACTAAATATACAAACAAGACTAGTTTGACATTTTTTTTACTTAATATTACATTTTCCATTATCCACTACCACCTCTCACATACATATGTGCCGATCAGAAGGGCAGCAGCCATTAACCATTTTTTGAATACTGCAGGGAAAATATTTTGCATGGTTATATTTAAAAACTCTTTTATGTTTTGTTAATCTACCAATTGTAAGTCTATTACCTCAGCTGAGTGTAAATATCTTAATAATTTTTTAAGTAGTGTTTTATCTTTGAGAAAATAGGTATCAATTATTTCAAAAAAGTTGTTTTTCGTTCGAGATGATGTATGTAGGGGTTTCTAGCGAAGCCCATGTTATTTTTATTGCATCTGGAAAAACGGATTTTTATTCAAAATCGTTTTTGTTGAGGGAGAACGAGAGATTAAGACGTTTCGATAAGTATTTGCATACAAGGTGGCACAAAATAAATTATTATTGCTTATTTATAAACATAGTGGTGTAGTGTACGTGACGTCCTGTAGAAATCTGACCAAAATTAAAGGCAGATTCTTCTTTCTCGTACCAAAAAACCCCATGTACCAAATTTTAGTCAAAACCTAAAAAAATTCTCCAGCGATAAAGAAACAGCTGTAAACAAAATTGTAACTTGATACTGCTTCGTTTTGACTATCAATATTTCAACTAAAGTATGTTTGTCTCAATAGGCATATCTTGGTCTCTCATACCATACCTGTAGTTTCGAGATTTCTCAACCTATCAAAGACATCCTGTATATATTTTAAAGGAAGTAGAAAAGTAAAACCATTACGTTTGTTTTCTGTGCTAATTATTATTATTGAAAAATTGGGTATGGCAAGCGGCATGCCGTAGAAGCCGTAAAATCTTCTTATGAAGATGCAATTTTAAAATGTAATTTTTGAATGACATATGTAGGTAATACCATTACATATCAAAAATGAAAAAGATAAACAACAAATTGTAGGTTTTGCAAAATTTTTCTGTGCCATTATTATTTATTATACATAGGGAGTGTAAAATATTTAAGGAGGTAATAGTATGAACCAAAATAAGCAGAAAAGTATCAATAAACATGGGTCAGCAAAGTAACGGTTGCGGAGATATGGAATGTTTTATGTTTTTAGCCCCTTTTTTATTCTGCATAAACGTGTATTTTCTTATAATAGTTGGTTGATGTTTAGTGAAATAAACAGTACGTATTTGACAGTTGTTCTCAGTGCACAAGTTTTCTTTCGCTATGGCTGGTTACTCTAACGCAGAATTAACAGACATGCATTTCATGTATGGTCGTGCTAATGGGAACGCCACCGAAGCGCGACGTCTTTATGTTGACGCTTATCCAAATCGCCAGATTCCTTCACAACGCATGTTTGGAAGAATTCACCAAAGATTGCGTGATACCGGTTCCTTGAGCAAACAGTGCCATTTATCCGGAAGACCAAGGTCGGTATCCACTCCTAGAGCAGAAGAAGAAATTCTAGCACTGGTAGAGCAGAATCCAGGTACGAGTGTGCGGAGAATATCAGCCGAGGTAGGAATTAGTGGTCCTCTTGTTTGGAGAATCCTTCACGAGCAACTGCTTTATCCATACCATGTGCAACGAGTACAGGCCTTAAATCCAATAAATGATCATCAAGCACGTTTGGTTTTTTGCCGCTGGTTTCTACGTCATGATGCTGAAGACCCTCGTTTTCTTGCAAACATTCTTTTTACTGATGAGGCCGGGTTCACAAGAAATGGAGTGTTTAATTTTCACAATACGCATATTTGGGCCGACGAAAATCCTCATGCTCTAATAGAATCTGGACATCAGGCACGTTTTTCATTAAACATTTGGATGGGTATTGTAGGTGACAGGTTTCTAGGTCCTGTTGTTTTACCAAACCGATTAACAGGCGCTGCTTACCTCAACTTTCTGCAGAACACACTGTATGAGTTTTTGGAAGACATTCCTTTGAATCAGAGGCAACAAATGTGGTTCCAGCATGATGGTGCTCCAGCTCATTTTTCCATGGCCGTTAGAGAGCATTTACACCAAACTTTTCCACATAGATGGGTAGGAAGGGCCGGACCTGTTTTATGGCCTCCAAGATCGCCTGATCTGAACCCTCTAGATTTCTTTGTTTGGGGATATTTGAAGACATTAGTGTATGGTACTCCTGTAAATAGCCTGGAAGAGCTGCAGCTACGGATTAATCAAAAGTGTCAAGAAATCCAAACCAAGGAGGGTGTTTTCGAAAGAGTTCGAATATCGTTGAGACGAAGATGTCGTGCCTGCTTGGAAATGGACGGAGGGCACTTTGAACATCTTCTGTAACTTTGTTTTTTGTTTGTTAAAAGCTTCCTTTGTCGGTTTAACCCTAATAAAATAAAATGTTTGAAAAACGAATAGTGGTCCATATCTCCGCAACCGTTACTTTGCGGACCCATGTTTATTAAGACTTTTCTGCTTATTTTAGTTCATACTATTACCTCCTGAAATATTTTACACTATTTTTTTAACACCCTGTAGTAATATCAAATTATAGTTTTAAACAGTTATTTAATAACTATCGTCATAAAATTACATACATGCCAGTAGTACCTACTTTACGGGAAAAAACGCAGAAAATTTTATGGGAACTATACAATTACGAATGTTAGGTATCGTTTAATATAGCATAAAAAGAAAGATAGAGTAGAATTTGCCTAATAAGCCCGTATCCAATTTTTAACAATCGTGTTTAATCTTAGTAAAAAGGCTAATAAAATATATTGTATAGATTTTGTAGTGCGAATATAGTGTTGTGCTTAAATTTTAGTAATTATGAATCTGTTAAAACAGGAACTTAACTTTTAATCAAATTATGAATTTGAAAAATATGTAATTAGTACCTACCCAAAGATTCACATCGTCCAAAGAGGGCTGCTTAGTACCTCGTGTTAATTGCCGCGATGTTGTCGCATTGCTCAATATGAATTTTATCGAATTTTAAATTTATTACAACGCTAATTATTTTTTAGAATTAAGCATAAAGAAGTTCAAAAAAGTGATAAACATTGTACTTTATGGTATTCTATGCACGCAGTTATGTTAATATTCCTTAATTAATCGAATTTTTGTACATCAACTTGGAGATTTTGATAATTTTTTTCTCGGAAATGGTCGAGTTTAGGATCCAGGTCATATAAGGTTTTTGTGTTTATTTTAATGTATTTTATCGTATGTTAAAATTAAGGCAGTCAAACTTCTAACATTATGTGTATCTTTTTAATTATATTTTTAAACCTTCGCGCTTCGGTTTTGCAGAACAAGGACAATTAAAAAAAAATGTAAGCGTTCAATTTCAGAAATATAAACAGCATTTTTTAAATGTCCTGGAATACGATGCTGAGATAAAATTATAAGCAGCGCAAAGATGCGCTGTGTAAAATAGTGACTCAAACCTGTGGGTCTAGAGACAGCAAGCCACTTTGCTTTGAAGCTCCCCGGTGCATGCATTTCTACGATTTAGGTTGTTTTCGTAAGTTTTACATGAAGAAAAACTTAGTTTAAATATTTTTAATTAAGAATCAAGAAAAACGCATACTGGGAACCTCGAAGCAAAGTGGATTGGCTGTCTCTAGACACTATTAAGGTTTACTGCAGCCGACTTAATTACATGGAATTAAAGAACTCACCGAAAACTCTTCGCGTGTTCGGAATTCAACCTCGTCCTGTCAGTGACCGAATGGAGGTCACGGTCTCCGTCGTCGTCGGTGTGCTCATCCTCGCTGGCCATGTTCAAGGCGACATCAATCCCGTCCCTTTCCGCATTCTGGCTCTGGCCCTCATTCCGCACCCTGTTGACTTGGAATCTGGTGTGTTTGTCGCCGTTCGGCGTGAGTAGGTTCATCTCGGTGGCGTCGTTTTTCTCCGCCATGTTCAACTGGAATAAAGGATGACTGAGATCAAGAAATGCTGCTTGGTGTAGATGGTCAAGCTGTCATAGTGACAGTTGACAGCCGGACAAAGAGAATTGACGAGTGAGTTCAACGAGCTAAAGTTTAGCTCGTTGTACTGGCTGCTGACTAGTTCAAAGCTTCGGAGATAGAGTCAGATGTCTATTGAAACTTTATTAAAAAAAAAAATTAATAATAATAACAAGAACAGCATAGCAATAATATTTCAAGATTCATTAATAAAAGATAGAGTTCAACAAATGTCCATCTTCTTCAGTAATGCACTTTTCTATGCATTATATTTTGCAATATTTGCTTTGGTGTTCTCCCAATTTTACCATGTGTATTTCTCTTGAGGTTATTAACGGTTAGAGGTTTATTCATAAATACTCTGTGCTTAAGGTAGACAAAAATCGGGTATCATTATATCGGGCGATCTCGCCGGCCATGGCAAATCACCACCACGTAAAAAGTATTGACCGTTTGACTGGTAGCGCCATCTTATTGGAACCAATAATTTCCAAGTAATTGTTCCAGTTGAAACCAGAAAATAATGTATGACAATTTTCTATATCTTAAGTAACAATGGCAAAATTACCATTTTCTTCCAAGAAAAGGGGCCAAGTCAACTTCGAAACAATGCACCACACTTTAGGCGCATGCTGTTGTCCAATAACGAGAGTTTTGTCTGTTTACATGGCCAATCAGATAAAAATGCGCTTTATGACTCTAAAGAGTCTCTCAAAAATGTGTACAAAACAGAACGATTAAGTTTAATGTTTTCAATTGACTTCGGCAATTATGATAATTTATTTTATGGAACATTCTTCGAACACTTGGTTTAGAAAAACTAAGAACTGGCGTATGGATCGTTGCAAGCATCCGCTTGCACGCCTCTTAGAATAATTACGAACAACGCTGAGTTTGAGGAACTGATTTAGTTTTTACAAAACTCTCCACTGGAAATCTGCTTTATTAATTCATTCATTTTACAACTACAGTATTTTGATAGCATTTTTTGGTTAACATCTTTGACATTAAACAAATCTCGAAAGTCTACTAGTTACTTTGTTAATTGATGCAGTTTCAACATAAAATTTATAAAGGGTGTTTTCACTTTAAATTTGGAAAACGCAGGAATGTATTCCCTATCAAAAATTAGGTGTAGTTTGCTCTATAATTTTTTTTTTATGAAAGCCTTTGTTTTGGAGATACAGGGCGTTGAAGCTTAAAAAAAATAAACACTTTTTGACATATCCCGGCTATCCACGAGTAGATTTGATTTAAACTTGGTACACATTATGCGTATTGGGGGTTCTCATAATTGACAAAATATTAGTCCTATCGCATTAACTAGTGGCGTGCAAAGGGGGGGGGGATGCGTGGCCCCTTTTTCAAAAAAAAGTACGCCATTGAGTTTTTCGAAGAGTGTATTTTAAATACTACCATACAAAAGCAATCTAAAAGGTCTCTTGGTATTTTTCGATAATACGCAGCGTTCATGAGATTCTTGGACTATTAAGATTTCAATGCATGAAAAAAAAAAATTACGGCGAATTCAGATTAACTTGGTACTAGGTGATATACAACATCATTTATTTAAATTCTCCTAAATGATAAATAGTACTAAAATAACGTTACTCAAAATGATTTACAGTTATATTAGAATAGAAAATAAAACGTAGTAGGTACTCATCACAGTAAATTTTAATGAAAATGTGTGTCAGAGTAATATTTCCTGCCTCATTCTTTAATTAATAAAATCATTAAAATTTCCATAAAAATTTAAATGCACTCTTTCTCCAATTGGTTGATCAGTTCAGAATAAAATCTGCGTCTTCAATTTTTAATCAATCTTCTAACTGCTGCAGTTTTCAGGAAAAATTTTTAAAGATTGTGTAATGAATTTCTTTATTTTGATGATTACTTAAATTTTATTTATGCCTAGGCATTCTGAATCACTTTGTATCTAATTTGTTTGGTACTGGTAATAGTCGCCAATAGAAATATTTTTGCATTCATTTGTTTTATGACTTATTTCTAGTAATTCACCAAATTAGAACCAAATAAATATTATGGACTATATAACTGATGAATTGGCAAAAAGTGTAAATTCATCGATAGTCTTTTATTATCTTACACAATGGAATAGAACAGATAACAATGTAAACCTGTACTTATGTTTTCATATTATAACCTGTAATGCACCAGGTATTAAAGAATTAATTTCTGAACGAATAATGCACTAAATATAATCCTTTCAATCGTTAATCTTTAGTTTATTGTTTCGTGTTCAAACAACTCTTAGTATAATACCAGGTCTGTTCAGAAAATAACCCCGAACTTTATTTTTTAAACTTTATTATTAATTTTATACAATATTGGTCCTTTCTCCTTCAAAGTACTACCATCCCCTATTCACACACTTTTCCCAGTGATGTTACCATTTTGCGAAGGATGTAATGAAAATTTTATTTATTCTATAAGTATTTATAAAAATTCAGTTTTTATTTGTGTCTACATATTTATAAATTTTATGTACAATGTTGATTTACTACTAGTTTAATGTTCTGTAGACAAATTCAATAAATGTGCTATGAAACAATAGCTAATTTTGTAAATTATGTATTTAATACTATACTTTTCTATTCCATGCCATATTTTCCAATTTTCACATTAAAGCGTTAGTCATACTAACAGAAAATATGAGTAAGGGGTAATTTCTTAGTTATTAATACTATTTTGGGAAAAATGAGAAATAAATAAACGTTTGATGCTTAAATATCTGATAAATATAAGACATGCACAAAAAATAACTCAAACATGCTTATTTACATTACCTTAAAAAATAATTGAAGGGAAAAACACCCTATGTCACAAAAACAGTCCTTAGTTCACTGAATTTCATTCATCATTTAGAGTTTCTCATGACTTTTACTGGAAATATTCGTAAAATTTACCGGCAACGCGATAATATCGATCTGAACTCCACTTGGATTGTACCAAACCGTAAATAGTGAGTGCCTATAACAGACTGAAGTTCAGAAGTAAACACGTATGGTATCTTATAGGGGAGATCAGGGTGACAGGAGCAGTATTATAGTCATTGATATATAAAACGTGAGTCACGTTTTATACATATCATTAAAAACGCTATTATTCTACTGGAAAACATTTTTATCTTTGTCGTGGTGTTGTCAATGTAATGAAGATACACTGATAACGACTAGATATCGAACTATTTTGACATGTTTTTATTCAGAATCAGAACCAAAAATTAATTATACAAGTTTTTGAGAAATTCTGGCAAATTGATCTATGTTTTAGAATGTCACAAATTTCCATAAAAAAGTACAGGGTGATTACTATATTTTGACCCCCCTTTAACTTTTTTGCTTTAAGAGTTATAAAAAAATGTGAAATACAAAAGTTGCACGATTTTTTATGAAATTTTCGAAAATGATAGTAGAAAAACAAATGAAGTCCAAACAAAATGGCCGCGGATGTTAACTTTGTTAATTTAAATGGAACATCCTGTATATTTTTCCATATTTGGATAGAACGTTCCTTGTCGAGCATAGCTATATAGGGTTTGTTGGGTCCATCTCTAGCAATAAACGAGATAATATTAAAAAACGAAAAGATGTTTTTTTTATTAAGAAAATAAGACATCTTGTAATTGTTAGACCTCTTTCAGGCATTTCTGCATTTTTTCCAATTAAGTAAGGATTTAGATTTAGTTGTAATATATTTTGACATATGGGACATTGATATAGTCCAAAATGCGTATAGGTATTTTAACTAAATCTCACTAATTAGACCGTGAGAGGCCAATTACTCATGGACAATGTTATATGGTAGGTCATGACAGTGACAGGTAGTAATATCATGATAATATTGTTATTGTTTGACAGTTTGTATTAGTATTTAATTAAAATGGGTTACACAGAAGTAGAAAATTGAAATATTAATCGGAATTAAAATAGAGTTTGGAGAATATCTTAACTACTCTATCTTAATTCCTATAATATTTAAATTTTCTACTTCTGTGTAACCCATTTTAATTAAATAATAATACAAACTGTCAAACAATTACAATGTTGTTATAACCTGTCACTGTCACGGCCTACCATATAACATTGTCCATGAGTAAATTGGCCGCTCATGGCCTAATTAGTGAGATTTAGTTAAAATACTTATACCCACTTTGGACTATATCATTGTTCAATATGTCAAAATATATTACAAATAAATCTAAATCCTTACGTAATTGGAGAAAAGACACAAATGCCTGAAAGTCGTCCAACAATTACAAAATATCTTATTTTCTTAATAAAAAACCTTTTCGTTTTTTAATATTAGCTCGCTTATTGTTAGAGATGGACCCAACAAACCATATATGACTGTTCTCGGCAGGGAACGTTCTATCCAAATATGTAAAAATATAAGGGTGTTCCATTTAAATTAACAAAGTTAACATCCGCGGCCATTTTGTTTGGACTCCATTTGTTTTTCTACTATCATTTTCGAAAACTTCATAAAAAATCGTGCAACTTTTNTCGAACTATTTTGACATGTTTTTATTCAGAATCAGAACCAAAAATTAATTATACAAGTTTTTGAGAAATTCTGGCAAATTGATCTATGTTTTAGAATCACAAATTTCCATAAAAAAGTCTCAGACATTCCCATCAAATTTGTTTGATCAGATCATCGTTACCATCCAATTATTTTGTACAAACTGATCAAAAGTTGCCAGTAGAACTTACTAGAATATATTTGAAAATTTAAATACATTACCTTGTGCAAATTTGAAATTTCTTTGAGCCACATGCACATAAAAAATGTTGGGAATGAAATTGTCATTCACCCCCTAATACTACCCCCTAATACTACCCCCTGATTTACAAAAATAATTTTTAGAGAAAACTTCTCGTGACTACATCTTTAAGAGATCATTTATTAGTAAATAATTGATGGATGTGAATTAGACAAATAATATTAAAAACTATAAATTTTGCTTCTTTCACCCCTATACTGGCAAATATCAACGCTTCCATGAACACAAGATGTTTCTTTATCCCCATACCCATAGATTTCATGAAAATAGGGCGAGGGTCCACTATAACCCTAGGGGCCCTAGGGCAGGTACAGTTTCGTACAGAAATATTTTAAGAAGGTTTGTCTAGCTACACAAATTACAAAATAGTTAAGCAATGTCGTTTATAAATGAAATTGAATTGGAAGATGCCCAGCCCTTGATTCTGTGGTATACCTACCATATGTTAAAAACTTAGTTTTGTTTTATTTTACAATAATAAACGTCTGCACCAAATGAAATAGAATAGAAATATTAATATGATTTTTAGAGGTATATGGTTTGCAAGTTTTTATTTATTCTCATGATAAGTTGACGTAGAAACGTGCATATTCTTCTATCTGTGGTCGTCCCAAAAGTTTTGCTTTACAAAACAAAATAGAGTATAAAGATAAAAAGGATTTTACCAAAATAGAACTGAAATATTCATTTTTTTTTTGGGAAATTTGTAATTTTTTAAGGTATCGTACTACATTCTACTGAAACAACCAACTATAATCTTCATTCATCAGAATATAATAGTGGTAGGGTAAAATTAATGAATATTTATATATGAGTAAAAATTAATTGGACTTTTATTATTACAATAGGCACAAAGATGAAACATGAACTAGATTTAAAATTTTCAAACCTGCTAATAATAAAAATAATAATTTAATTTTTAACACAGTAACTTCTCACAACTACAATTATAAAAATGACTTAGATATATAATTATACAAAATTGTGCTGTGCAAATGTCAGTTTTATAAGAGCATAACAATTTATTAAACATAAATTATATTGACTGAAATATTAGTAAAAAGTCGACAAAGAATTTAATAAAAATTATAAATTTTCTTTACTTCTTTCTTTAAAATGAATTTACTGACAAATATCAGTGCTTCCATGAACATACAAATGCTCTTTGTACCCATATCCATAAATCCCATACCTAAACATGGGACGAGGGTATACTGGAACCCTGAGGGTGGTGCAGATTTGTAAAGAAACACCAGGAAAGGTCGGCTTTTTCTAGTTATATTGTGTGTTATTTTCTAGTCATATGAGAATACGAATAAAGAGAGAAAGGAATGTTTTTCGTTAGATCTAACATTTGTTAATTGGTTGGATTAAGTTACAGCTATCAATTAGACAATTAATAATGTTTGTCGTTCATAAGTGGACTTGAATTGAAATAGAAATCCTTGAGCCTGCGGTAAACTTTAAGTAACATATTAAAACTGTTTAAATAAAAAATATGTTTTAAATTGCAACAATATCAAACAAAGTATCGTTTGTTTTATATTAATTTTAATTAATAATAAAAGTAGACGCTTTTAGAAATATTTGATATGAATTTTTAAAGATAGAGGTGCCGATTTCTCGTATACATTATAAAGATGAAGTTCAACTTTGCAGTTTTATTTCATATATCTGGACAATTTAAAAATAAAATGTGTTATCTACAATCCTGTATTTATGAGATTACAAGAAGTAGGTATAATAGATACTTCGAAAACCGTCATTTTATTGTAGGAATTTTGGAGCAAAGTCAATTAAAAACATAACTAAAATGGTAAAATTGAAAAACGTTGACAGAATTTTTTTTTGTGAAAAAAAATTGTCATTTATTTAGTTTTACAACCCTTCTTGATACGTTGATGGACAAATCTTTTGTTATAACACTGCTGTAGTTACAACCACAAGTCATTTTACGAAATCAGAAAAGATATCTACATTATGTTTATAAATGATCTAAAAATATACTTACATACAGTTTTAGGGTACCTAATTGATTCCTTCCTTTTACCTTCAAGATTATGATTACGAGATTAGTTAATGCATGAATTGATTATAAACTTAACTAGTTATAAAAATTCATCTTTCGTAATTTTTAAGTAGTAAGTTGATGCGAGTAAGCCTTACAAAATGATATGAGCTCAATTAGCATATTTTTTAAATTCATATTTAGAAAGTATTCGAAATAGTTAGTTAATGTACCAAAAATTAAAATTCTTTGCAACTATTTCTCCCTCAAAATAATTAATGAAAACGGAGAGCGGGATAACGCACGGAAGCCATGTTGTTACGTCATACCGTTCGTTAACGGCTGAGTCCCATAAACATCAGATGATACAGTCCGTACGAAATTTGCTGAGACAGAATTCCAAAAAAATCCCTGCTTCATTTTCTTGGAATTAACCGCATTTGGTACCTGAGGTAGAAAGACATTGACGGAGTGGCGTTTACGGTTCATCCATTTTAAATTATATGGGCTCAAGTTAAAAACATTGTAGCAAAGAGAAATGTTTTATTTCAATTCTATCTCAACAAATATCTTACGAATCTATCTATGGAAGCAAATAAATTTAAACTATAAACCTAATTTTGATAACAGAAAAATATTGATTTTTTAAAACATCAACTGTAATTACAGATCCTAAATTAAATGCTAATAAGTTCAGAAGAGGAAAAAAGCCTTTTTAGTATTTTTTCGTGTCATAATATTAACATTCGCATATAAGTTAAAGAGAAATTCGTCATATATTTAGAGGGTTAAATATGACAAAATTTCAAACAGAGTCATATATCATAGTTTTTTTTATTCAATTAATAAGATTTGATTTCTCAATGAAAAATTTAGGGTTCACTATATGACCGTAAGTAGTAAGCAGTAGTAGGATGAATTACGTTTGTAAATTATTATTTACTTTAAGGACAGTAGCATGAATTATAAGCTACTGTACTCAAGGATAATAGTCCTGGTTATATAAGCTGATGGTAAATAGTATGTCCAAGAGTAGTAATTCAATTTAAAAATAAAAATAAAAGCCAAGTAATTATGCAACTAGATATACTTCTCGACAAAATGAGGAGAGTAGACTTTCAAAGTGCATTTTATCCAATATTTCGAATTCTTAATTAGAGGTGGCGCCACATG